AAATGGATACATTAAGAGCATTGCAGGGACTGCCAAATAGCTCACCAGATTAAGGCACCTGCAAGCAGGCACAGGGGTCAGGGGTTCAATCCCAGGCCTGCTGTGCTGACCCTGCCCCCGGGGCACGCTGAGAGTGCAACTGAGACTGTGCATTCTGGCGCACACCTATAATTCCAGCCCTTGGGAAGCTGTAAACAGGAAAATCACTACGAGTCTGATCTAGTAATGAGACACTGAACACTCTGAAGAGCCTTCCCTAAAAATAAAAAAAAAGCATTGCAGAGGACTTGTTATAGCAAATACACGAGTAGTCTTCGTCTTCCATATTTTTTCTGTTCTTTTCTTTTGTTCTATTAAAATATCTGAAAGTATTTTATTTTTACACTTTAAAATAATATCAAATCCATTGCTTTGATTCATTGATTGATTTTTATGTGTTTGGTACAGAGACTCACTGTGCAGCTCCAACTCACAGTGATTCTCCTGTTTTCAGCCTCCCCAGGGCTGGGATTGCAGGCTACCACCCCAGTCTCAGTGGCCAGCTCAGCTCAGGGGCAAGGACCAGTGCAGGCTGTAGTGCCAGGGATTGAATCCTGGTCTCTGCGCTTGCCTAAGAAGGTGCTTAGTCTGCTCAGCCTTAAATTGTCAGCCCTTGACTTAGACATATTTAAACATTTTAGCTTTATGCAACACAATCTTAGCTCCTTTGTTTGGAAAATATGATTCTTAATGAGAGAATTCAAAAGTAAATGAGAAGTAGAATGATATTTAAGTCAAAGAACAGCTCTGTTAATTAATAGCTATGTGTCTGGGCAATTCTAAGTTGAGATTCTTAACTAATGTATCATGAAGAATAATTGAATATATAATGCGATAATATACAAAGTACTTTTAAATGTTGTATGTAATAAATTCTTAGCAAATGTTACCTGTAGATATGAATACATTCTAAAATTATGGTCATTGTTGATAAAAAATATGTGCAAAACCAGGAAATAATCCATCTTCTTCATTTTCCTGGACTATAGCAAGGTTGCAGCCAAAGCAACACCCTAATTCCCTACATAATCCTGAGAATTACATTTTTTCCCCTTGGGTCCAGACCATGGCTCAGTCAGTTTGTGAAGCTGTAACAGTTTGCCACAGGCTGATTGCTTACAAATTATTTAAATCTCAGACTCCTGGAATTTGGAAAAGACCAGCTTACTCACCCATACAGTCACATACTGGTAAGAGTCCTTTTCCATATTCATATTACTAATTTCTCACTTGGCACAAAGCAGAGAAAAGCAGGTATTTTTAGCATCCTCATTAGGGTACTGACTCTATTTTCACTCTCGCAAAACCTCCTCTCTTCTCATTACCTCTCCAGAGTTCCACCATTTAGCACATTACATCTAGGGTAATGTTTTACCATGTGACTTTTAGGTAGGCAAGTTCAAATGCTTGCACTGTACAAAGTACAGGAAGAGGACCAGGGAGTCATCTCAGCAGCATGAGCACCTCCCTGGTGTGCACAGTGTCCTGAGTTCAATCCCCAGTACCAGAAAAATTTTTAAAAAAAGAACAGGCAATGTCATTGTGGTATTCTGAATATGGGCGGCTTGTCATGACATGCCATTTACTGCTAAGATGTCTCTCGGGTAGATGGATGTTCAAGAAGAAGGCGGTGGGGAAGGAAAGCAAGAGACAGGAAAAGGAATATTGTGGGACTGTCCTGCTTCAAGGTTGTATATGGTGAGATTTTTGGACTTATGTGCAAACATGAGAAGCATAGAATTCTTTATCCTATTTTT